TCTGGCCAATAAACATAGGTCTGATAGACAATTTAGAGTAGGTGATTGGGTCTATTTAAAGCTACAGCCTTACAGGCAGTTCTCTGTGGCCACTAGACCCTTTAACAAGTTAGCTGCTAAGTACTTTTGGTCCCTATCTGATTGATGCTAAGATTGGGGAAGTTGCTTATAAGCTTTTGCTCCCAGCAGATGTATTGATCCATCCTACTTTTCATGTATCACAGTTGAAAAAATGCCATGAAGTGCCTACTGTCCTCAACCATCCTCCAGTGTTACATATATCTAGTCCCTACTGCCCCTTGCCTGAGGCTATATTAGAGAAGAGGCTGATCAAGAGGGGTAATAAAGCTGTTTGTCAGGTGTTGGTTAAATGGCTGGGCATTGATACAGCTCAGGCCACCTGGGAAATTCTCACAGAGTTGCAGCATAGATTTCCTTCATTCCAACCTTGAGGACAAGGCTATTCTTCAAATGGGGGGTACTGATGCAAGTATATGTAGTAGAGTTAAAATGAATGTAAAGGAATCTGAAAATCTGTTAGAAAGCTGTTAGAACTGTTAGGCAATTAACACTGTTCAGCTGTCAAGAAATTAGTTAGTTAGTTACTTTTGTTGTATTCTTCTTTAAGTCATTTTACCCATTGATTAGTTGTATAAATACATGGGAAATGTACTGAGTCACTCATTCATGAATAACATCACTCTATTCTTTCTTCTTTCTTCTACATCTTCTCAACTAATCTTCTCGGTTGTACCCTGAATTAGTCTTTATCTTCTTCGAGCCTTAACTCCTAGATTAACTACTATCATCACGATTGAGTGTGAGTGCATCAGTTCGTGATTTTGTTAAGGTTTCAATTGCTATTAAGATTATTGATCTTATTATGCATGTCACGACCCGGGAGCACCCCCAAGTCGTAACAAGGCGTACTCGACCCCGAAGGGGTCTTATACAAGCCACATAGTCATTCATTGCATTCAATAATGAAAATAGTGCGGAATAATAAAAAAACTTATTTACATCCACACATTTAAACTTCTTAAAACAACTTTAAAAATACACAGCGGAAGTCTAAGTCTCACATGGCCATCTTAGACACAAACAAAA